ATCCACATCCATCTACATTTGTATATGAACCCCGTTACGGGGTTCATATACAAATGTAGATGGATGTGGATTTTCAATTAAAAAAATTAATATTGCTGTAAAAATTGAAAGTAACCATATATGATTCCTATGACAAGGTTTTTGTATGCTCCATATTGCCTAATATCTGGTTCAATGTAACCTGCAAAAGTGCAAAAAATATATCTTGAGCCCTGAAATAAGTAGCTGCAGTATAGTATAGACATGATATAGAGGTAAAGTCTGAAGTTGTACAAGACCAACTTTTTTCAGCGTGTTCCAACCCGGATCCACCTGTTTACCCACTATTAAAAAACAAACACCTGGCGTGACGTCAGCCCACTTTCACTGTTAGCTGAAGCAACGTGCCACGTCACAAGATATATGATTACTTTCCCTTTTTTATTATTTACCAATACACAACAATAACATTGTGCATTCAATAGAACGTATTGCTTTGTTCTCCTTTCACTGTTGGTCTCTGTACAAGATATGTCACACTATATATATTACTAGCTAGTAACGTTACCTCCTTTGCTTCTTTGTACTTGACGATCGGAGGCAGCCCGCCCGGCCGAAAGAGTGACAGTGGGACTTTTTCATCATCACTGCAGCGAATATTGCCGTTCATAAAGTCATACCGGACGGAGAGGACTTTTTCGTTGCCTTTGCCACATTTCAGTTCTACTAACTCTACACTCTGGCCTGGAGTTACGACGCAAAACAGCGCCAAGGTAGCCAGACAAAAATTCAGAAACAACTTCGACTTCATCTTGGATTCTTGGGTTGTCAGTCTGGTTCGGTAGGAACAGTCTATTATGAATAAAGGGGACAGGAGCATTTTCTTAACTTGTATCATCCATGTTTTGCCTTCATTTAACGTGCAAAATAACAAATCCCAAATTAGTACTATTTCATCATAATAGCCCTACTATTTATGACAAACTATTACTTAATTATTACCACGAAATATTTACATTATTTGATGAAATATAAAATTTCTACCCCCAGGTATGAAGTGAACTGTACGCAATAACGTCTTGTTCGAAGCTTTCGATATCAAGTGCCTGTCTGATTTTACCACAAATATTCGTTGCTCACAATATTTCACGACAATTACCACATTCAAATTATAAGAAAACGAAACTCTGTATAAAATATTTTGGCTAAATTCTCATCTACTTCAAATACCGTAGAAAGTATACAGAACGAAATAAAAGGCACGGGAAAGAAAGCAATGGCCGAACAACAGTGATGTTATTGTCAACATTTGTAGAACATTGCCTGTAGAAATGTCTGTTGAAGATTCTTCTCCGTTAAACCTGGTAGGTTTACGTTGTACTTCTACGTTTATTATTTTGTCAAGGATAGAATACAGTCAAACGTAGTGTCAGTGTTTCATACTTTGACGTATTACAGTCTAAAAACAGGGGCGGGTCCAATAGCTAGCTAGTAAAGAGCAAAAGGGGGGGGGGGGATATGTTCCTGTTTTCTTGTATCGTAATATGTAGAACAACAACAACATATGTAGAATAGCTGACATCAAGTAATCCAAACACAGTAGATGTCACTTCACGCTGATGTTTAGGGCAAAACAGTCTTACTTGCAAGACTTTGGTTCAAATAATTGTGTATGGGCGACAAAGGACATTCAAAGCTATTGTGTAATTCCAGACTATATCTGTCATATTTCTGTGTTTTCCTCTCATCAGTTTTGTTTGACATGACTGTCACACCATGGTAACTCCATGGTAACACATACAAGTAACAGAAACAACCCTTCTGGGTGCCAAAGATGTGCTGCACAACATGGATAGGGGTAGTCTTGTAGGGGTGGTATTTATAGATTTGAAGAAGGTGTGTACATGTGTGTATAAGTTATCAACTCGTCATAAATGTTGTAGACATATAAGTCAGTTTCATGCCCGTAGCCAGGATTTTGAATGGGGTGGTTCTTCCAACTGCTTGAGGGGACCTCGAGCGCCGCGCGAGGCGAGCGCCGAAGGCGCGAGGTTCCTAGGGGGGTCCGGGTGCATGCTCCCCCGGAAAATTTTGAAAAATGAACCTTCTAAAATGGCATTTCGTGCATTTTTGAGAGGATTTCCAAGAAAAAAAACAGAAAAATTTGTATTCAATGACAAAAGGAGCAGTTTTCTACGATTCCAGTCCATCTTTCCAGGAAAAATCTTGGACCTTTACATAAAAAGTGGACCAAAAAGTGGACCTTTACATAAAAAGTGGACCAAAAAGTGGACCTTTCAGCCTTGTGGGGGTTCTTCCGAACCCCCCAACCCCCCCTCGGCTACGGGCATGAGTTTGAGTTTACACTAACCTGTCGCCCGCCCCCCCCAGGCTCACCAGCAGGGTCGCCATGCCGACAGGTTACTGACAGCCGGCAGGTACCATGATGCAATAGTCTGTCACGAGAAGGCTGCAGGTAATCTCACCTGGTCATGTCTTTTATTGATTGATTGATTGATTTGGCAATAACAGCCAGGGATGCTCAACTAGCATACTATTACTAGCACATGTACTACATTTATCTGTATCTGTATAGCTGTTATAATCGCTCTTTGGCGTAACACACCAGCTTCTGTATCTGTATCCTTATAGCCGGTATAGCCACCCTTTGGCGTAACACTGCAGCTTCGCAGGCATGCGGTGCGGCGGCAGCTGGCTACATGTACATTACACCGAACAACTTCATCACACACAATCAACACACACCTAACCCTTGAACATCTAACTCTAAACATTGTTTAAAGCTATCTAATGATGCATGTAATGATTGTCACTTGGGCTAGCCTGGGGAAGAAGTACATACAACTGGTTTTACACAAAATCATTAAAACATACTGTATATACAAAGAGTCATATAAGTACCTTGTAAAGTTGTTGTGCAATAAAGTTTATTTTCTTGCACAACTAACTAACTCTAAAATGTACAACATACAGATCTTAGTAACTGCTATGTAACAACAAACATACTATGAGATGACCAGTCTAAAGTTTGTTTTCTTGTATTGTTTACAGACCACCTCCTGAGAGCCATGAAGATGACGTCTGTACCACAGGTGTGTACTCACTTTCAGTTTATCAATATGAAAAATTTGTTTTTTCATACATCATTCATGTTCTGGCAGAAAAAAAGGATAACAGAGTAATCATGAATATTATATGTGCCATAAGATTCAAATATATATCAATAATATGCTTTGGCCAGGACTCATTGTGCAAGTCACGTTTTCTGTGCAAGAGATATGGGAACAAGTTACACATTAATGTCTCAAGCTGATTGGAACTTTACGCTTTGTGGCTAATGTACTATCCGGGTACATGTATTACGAATTACATTGATTTTTAGGGAGGCTGCGGGCTGTCTACAGATTAAGAAGGCCTTATTACGCCTTACAAAAAAGGGTATGCAGGCCTCCTTACAGCACTTTCTGTTCCCCCTTTCCCAGGCCTTGACGTCCCTCCAGCTGCAGTACAAGTTCCACTTCAAGCAGCGCGACATCATCCGTGAGAAGCACCGGCGGGCAGAGAGTTACCGGAAGTACCAGGAACAGCGGGAAAAAGAAGCCCAGAAGAAAGCCCAAGCCGCCAAGGAGCTCCAGGAGCTACGAGAGGCCGAGGAACTGCTGCAGAAAACCCTCGCGTCCAACACCGAAAGGGACAGCGAGGTCGAGTCAGAGCCTGACGAAGAAGAAAACGGAATAGACAGTAACGATGAAACAGATTTGAGCAGGGGGAACGAGAAGAGTGTAATACATGACGGTGAGCCAGACTCGCTGCTACAGTTCCTAAACAAGGGCGGCCGGCGAGACAAGTTCAGCAGCAGCGTGCACGCGGCCACGAAGGCGCCGAAGAACGCAGAGGAGAAGATGGAGGAGCTGAAGACGAGCAACGCCCAGCTGCAGGAGCACGTGTCCTCCCTCCTGCAGGAGCTCGAGAAGACGAAACACGAGCTCCACGCCGCGAGGTCTGTATCTATCGGTGTAGCCGGTAGAACTGCCTTTCCGGGTTGCACACCAGCTAGCTATATCACACTGAATGACTTGTTACACTCAATCTTTGCACATTTAATTGCTGGAGTTGTTTGAAGCTTTCTAGTGATGCCCCAACTGTGCTTGGTGGCAACAAGTTCCACTCACAATTCTTGTTCTTGGGAAATATGCTGATATTTGAAGGCATGACTGTTTCTTGTTCTTTTCTGGGTTGGTATCAGGTACTTAGTGGTTGGTATGTCCACCAGTTTATTAGTCATTTTGTACATCATGGTTAGTCTGGACATTTTTCGTCTGTCTTCCAGCGACCCCCACTGTAGGTTTCTTTTCATTTCACAGGTCTGAAAACAGGCAGCTGAGACGAACGGTGGACATCCTGACCACTCAGATCGAGAGATACGTGGCGGAGGACAGGAGAAGGGCAGGGCAGGACCTGTCAGTCAGCATCCGTCCGGCTTTTTCCGCTAGCGACTCATCATTTGACGAGCAGATCAGCCCGCCGTCAGAAATCCCACCGTTGGCCCCTCTTGAGATCCCAGACTTTGATTTCGATTCTTTTAAGTGACTGTATGAATGAATGAAAGTTTATTATATACCTGTATATATTGTGTTTTGCGACTACACACCGCCCAGCTCAAGTGGGCTTGTACGACACCAACAAAAGAAAAACATAATACAAAAGTGACTGTATATTGAAATGGGGTCTTTTACACTTTTTACTGTCAGGTAGGAAAGAAATTTCTTGAGTCTAGGATCTCTTGCAAGATCTGACCCACCGTTTTAAATCTGTATGTACAATATGTATGTGTCCTGTATGCACGTGTTTCTTATAAATTGTATGTTCCAAGGGTCTTGTATTGCTGGAAACTCACTCTGGTGAAAGAAAATTAAACAAGATGAATGCATATAGCAGTGAATGGATATATCAGTGATTTTTTCTTTCCCTGGCCCTGATGTAGATATGTATGAATGGATCATACAGCAGAATAAAGCTATTCAGTCTGATTCATGTTACACTGTGCAGTCTTTGACAAAAGTCAAAACACAAGTGAAGCAAACCAGTATTCTTAGAAACACATTATAGCTTTATACAAACACTTCTTTGAAGCACTTTGGGAACATACATGTGTACAAACAACCAGAAGAGGTACATTCATGGAACTTCAGCCATAACACATTTTTTCTGGGGAATGACAAAATACTTAGACACAGATCCACCACCCCCGTCCAGACATGGTACAATCCAAAGGGCCGAACAGAGAAATAACATGAGTAATATGTACTTGCACAATACACTTGATTGCCATCATTAACATGGTTATAATACTTCAATCAACAAGTAGTATGTATCTTTACGTTCCCAATCTGATGTAGAACATTTTATAAGTGTTTTAAGATGTAAGACAGCCCAAAGGCTGCCATGGCTTTCATACATTAAATGTACGTATGAATAAACTAGAATTCCGAGATTTCATACCTCCATGAAATATGATCTTGATATGTAAATGTAAATTTCTTCTTTAATTGTTCAAATGAACTCTGCATTAACATGATATATGCATCGTGATGTATGTTAACTTTTGATTAATTTACAGATGTCCCAAGTATGACATTCTCATCAATCACCATTACGAAATCATAGAATTTTCACATTAATTATGCAAATTAGGTCATCATTTGCATAATTAGTATCTGTTGAAGTTCCGCCTGCCATAGGTTACATAGTATAATGTAAAACACTGTAATTATAGAATTTCCTCATTAATTATGCAAATAAAGTCCTCATTTGCATAATTTGTATTTTATTATGTACATCTCTCTCTCTCTCAGCTACCTACACACTAAAAATAATGAAAATATGTTGTTCCTGTCTGGACTTATTGGCTTTTAAACATTTCACCAGAAAGTGCCCTGCAGTTCCAGAACAAGCCGCTAGGGGGCCCAAACTCATATGACTTCTTTCCAAGCACGAGAGCTACCTTCCATCAAAATTTCATGACCCTAGCATGTCCAGATCGTGAGATATCAAAACCGGAAGTTGCGCTGCAGTACCAAGGGAAGCCACTAGGGGGACCAAAATCTCATCATTTCCAGTTTTCGTCACACCCTACCAACACACCAAGTATGAAACCCATCCATCCAGGCGTTCTTGAGTTATCTTGTTGACCAACAGACAGACGGAAGGACGGACAGATAAACGCAACTGAAAATATAACCTCCATGACACATTTCATGGAGGTAACAAGTCTAATACTACTAACATGATACAGAGTATATAATAATTATACTTGATATTATTGCTAGATGATTTGCCATGTATAGGTGTTCATAACACCCTGAAACTGAACATACAATTGGCACAACTCTATCTCTTACACATGATGGTCTTACACTTTCAAACATGCCCCTTAAACTGTTCAGTAGTAACATCTTGCAGAATATAGGATATATATTTGTATATATACAATATCATATAACACAGTACATATTATTGCTACATATACGACACATTGCATTTCAAAATCCCCTGACAAAACATGAATGTTTCACTTTATTTCCACATTTTTCTACTTATAAAAAGTTAAAAAGCAGATATGAAAAGAAGATTGAAAAGAAGATGTTGCTAGATAATAAATACTCAGGAATAAAACATCAAACTCTAACCAACATAGTGTCTTCTTCACCAACATTACCAGTTCCAACCATCAGCCCTGTGTTGGGCTATATTGATAACCTTAAGATTCAATATTGTTAACTGATGAAAATATATGTACTGTACTTTTTTAAGTATAGTTATGGCTTAGAGACCTTGAAGCCAGTAAGACATCCAAAAATCGAAAATGGAAAAAGAATGTTATATCTTGTTGAAGCTCCTTGCTCTAACCAAGGAGGTTAAAAATACTGATGATGCAAAATGTCGCCATCCAACTTCCTATGGCACAATACAGAATACTAAAACGAAGTAAGACTTAGTAGGTTTAAACCTCCTTGCTGAAAATACTGTATGTTTAGTAGTACTGGCCATGCAGACTTATCAAGTCAAAGTCATCCCTGTATTCATTTGTGGATTACAATCCACAGTGGCCCCGCGGGACACCCTGGCAAAATCTCAGCTCAGCTCTTTACATACAGCAAGCCTACAAACGCATGCTGGGCACAGATACAGATAATATGTACACCCACTCCTGTTAATGTCATGCATTATTCAGTGCCTGCAACACTACCAAGCCTGACCAGGACTCGAAATACTTGGGGCATGTGCACTAAGATGGCTTTGTAATGTGTTTGTTTGACAATGTGTGTCTGTATACGTATTGTAATGTTAATTTGTATTTGTATTTACTACACAATTGTAAAAAAAAAAACAGTGTTATTCAGCTTGTTTGTGCACAGGCTGCAAGGCTGATTTTTATGAATAAAACTTGAAACTTAAGATGTGCACCTTAGTGCACACAAATTTGGAGCTGTGCACTCAATTTTTTTCTGCAGGTGCACCAGTGCACCCAAATATTTTCTTCGGTTTTCGTATGTAAAGATGTTAAATGTATTAAAATATAGCGTATTCTTAACATCCAATTCCTAGTGTCAGAAAAGTAATAAAATTATTGTTGTAGTACTTCTCTTTAGAAATGAAACACATTAGTTTTCGCTGACATTCCACTTATTTCATTTCATATGGTGCACCCAAAATAAATGTTTTTTGTGCGCCCAATTTTTCAGTTGGGTGCACCAGTGCACCTATTCCCAAAAATGAATTTCGAGCCCTGCTGCTGACTAAACCACGCTCCTAGCAGCCCCACCCGATTACATAGCCCCTTTGATGATGAAAATGATGAGGGGGCAGGGAGACATTGTGTAACCAGCCTACGTACATGTAGGAAGTCTCCCGTGTGTCCTACATTGCACTTCTAACCTTTGCACAATCTCTTCAGGGTTCTGAGCTTGTGCTTTCGTCTCAGAGGACCGAGAAAAACAATCAGCAACCTCTGCTTTTTTTACTACTGACCCAGAGTAGACGTCGATGTTCTCTCTCCTGATTGGTTGGTGGGGTAACGTGATGCAGGTGTCACCCCAGGTGACCCGTGTGCGGGTTAAGTAACCTGTGCGTGGGACAGATGACTCCGAGTAACCCCTAATTATGTACTCGTCCCTGATTGGCTCAGACAAACTACATTTGAACTAAGGCTACCCCTGATTGGCTTAGATCCACTACATTTGAACTAAGGCTACCCCTAATGCTGTACACTGATTGGTTGGCTATATCACAATGACACAGATAGGCTAAATGAATCTCAGGGCTCAAAATACCCACATGCGACTGGCAATTTTGCATGTAACAAGAAAAAAAAAAGGATTTCGAGCCCTAAATCAGATTATATGATGGTATTCTACAAGACAAGCTCTTTGGATTCCTGTAGATGCCCTAAATATTTTCTACACGATTCTTAAGTACTATGGTCCTAGTCTGTGTAATGCAAACTCTGCTGTTGGGCCCTGGATGTTGGGTGGGTGGCAACCGTAAAACGATTTAAACAGGCTATCATCCCCCAGTTTCTAATGAAATTTGCCTTCCAATCTTATTGCATTTCATTGTACTGTAGACAAGTACTGTCAGGGCTGGGTGCATGTGCACCCAATATTTTTGTAGGTTTACATATGTAAAGATGTATAGTATAGTAGTATACAGCATATTCTTAACATCTAAGTGTCAGAAAAATAATAAAATCATTGTTATAGTACTTTTCTTTACAAATGCTGACATTCTACTTATTCTCTTATATGGTGCACCCAAAAAATTGTGCACCAGTGCACCTATTCCCAAAAATGAATTTCGAGCCCTGACTGGTGACTGCCAGTGTTATGAGTGACTAGTGGATGCCTAACTCCAGTTTCTGTCGTCTGAATCGGTCCTGAATGAAGGTGTACAGCTCGTAGTCCATGTACATTCTCTGCTGCATCAGTTTCTGGGCCAGGGGGGAGGGGGGCTGCTTCCTCACTGTCTTCTGGGCCTCCTGTACATTCGGAGCTGAGGCAGGGTGAGAAAAAAACATGTATTGGGAAAGGTTTGACAACATAGGACTTAGATAACGTCAACCCACAGGATGGAGGTAAGTGGCGGGCTGCCATCAAGCCTCAGTATTGCAGTGCAAGCACATCTAACCCTCGGAAGACGGGGAACAGCAGACGACGGGGAACAACAGACGATATACCGAATAGTGAGTGAGTGTGAATGTACTTATAAGCCAAGCAACCAACCATTCAAACAAAGCATCAGTCAGGCCAAGCAACCATTTAAGCCAGGCAACAACCAAGCAACCAACCATATGACACAGGGAAACAACTTACATGGCAGAACAGGACTTTATAATATATATCATTTGTAACTGACTTAACACCAGCACTGTGCTACCACCTCCCTCAAACCCCAAAGCCTAAATCCTAGGCCTCCTTCTAAAACTTACCCAGATCCTGCCATAAGTCAGTCCACTCCTCTAGAGCTGTATAACCCTCTAGTTCTGTGAGTATTGACCCAAATAATATATATCAATCAGTAGTTTCGCTTTATAAATCTGCATTTCTCCTGGTCTCTTAGTGTCACTGACAAAAGGTAGTGGATGCTACCTGAAATGTCTGACCGTTTCCAAAATCATATCCAGTTAACACTGGTCAGTTTAAATTGGGAAGTTCAGTTTCCCGATTTCAAGGCGGCCATCTTGGTCATCCAATTTTCTAACTTTTTTTCTACTGAAGATACAGTACACTTTTACATGTCATTGGAAAGAGCATGATTTCCCCTGCATCATGATGTCTTTAATTTGGTCATAACGTGTAACATTATGAAGATATTCCGTTTTGAAAGTTGCCCAGGCCAGTGGTCTATTGGCTGGACCATGTGAACAACACACAGACCACACTTGGTTATGCATAGAACACAGTGGCCTAGCAGTAGCCCACTCCAATGCAAATGAGTTATAATTGGTCATTCCACACTGAACAAAGCACTCGCATAATGAGTTATGACAACTTGCTTGTCAGACCACTGGCCTGACCTGGGTTCAATGGGTCAGGTGATTAGAGGTGTGAAGTCCAGTCTGGCCAGGGCCAAGACCACAATGGTCTGGGCCAATCAACACCTTGTTGTTTATACAGCCCACCTGGCCTAAATTATAGCCCATACATGGTTTTCCCTCAGACCAGTGGTCTAATGCATTTTCAATCTGTCATATCTAAGCCTATGAACATCACTAACTAATAATTTTCACATGACTACTTTCGTGATGAAAAGAGCTTTCAGATGATACCACACTTATAGGCAGAAATTTGATATTTCTGAGGTTTCCCAATTGCTTCTGTTTTTCCCAATTTGAACTGACCAGTGTTAGTTGCTTGTCAATGAGTAACTGATTTTTGGCGTATCTTATTACCTGGATGTCTAACCTTCACCAATGTATTGACACAAGTAAATTTACATAAGCTCTCCATGAAGACAAAGATGAGGTTCTACAATACCAACGTCCTCTCTACACTCCTGCATGGTTGTAAAACCTGGCATATGAAAACCAGCCAAGAAAAGAGACTGGATGCTTTTGATGGCAAATGCGTGTGGAAGATCTTAGGCATCAGATGGGCTAACTTCAACCCAACATAGATGTAAGAGCCCGAGCTAACCAACAGCCAGTGTCTATAATAATCAGCAAGCAGCGTTTGAGCTGGCAAGGCCATGTTACAAGATTTCAACCAGCCAGACAGGCAAAGCACAAGACCCACAGGAGAAAGGACGCAGAGGTCGACCCAAAATGAACTACCAACAAACTTTGAGAGGGACCTGCAAACAGTAAATCTGAACAGAAAGGATGTAGAGAGGTTGGCCAATGATCGAACCTACATTTGTACTGGTCTGCTCTGATCCCCCCCCACCCCCAAAGTTCTAACGCAAGTAGACTTACCCAGGTCCTTCCACAGGTCTGTCCCCCCTCTCTAGAAGTGTGTCAGCCCACCCCT